CTACTCTCCCTGGCCCTCCTCCGCCTTCTGCCACAGCGCTGAGCGCCCGCCCGCCTGCCGGCCGGCCTCCCTCCTTGCTCTGCCCTTTGAGGAGCCGCCTGCCCCCGGGTGAAGAGACGCCTCTGCGCCTGCTGCTTCCACGCCCCGTGCCCGCGCTGGCAAATACGCGAGATATCAGCCGCCCGTTTGTCTCGGGACAGGACCCTCATCCCAGCGGGTTGAAGGGCCACGTCGAACGGGCGCTTTCCGCGAAAGGCGTCAGTAAGGCTAAGAGCCGCAGAACCCGCGCGCTTGCTCAGGGGTAAGCTTGCCGCTGAGTCCGGCTTTCGTGCGCGCGGAAGGAGGCGCTGGAGTCGCGCCCCCCGTGCGCAGGACCTCGAGGGGCACGTTTTTAGGTAGGTGCCGGTGAGGCCGTTTCGCCGCACGCCATCGCTGGACAAGTTCTTTTGCCCACCTCCCTGAAAGGATCGTAATCGTGTTAAGTATTGATTATGGCTGGGTGAAACTTCATGATCGGTGGAAGGAGGAGGGGGTCTACCGAACAGAGCAAGGGCTGCTCAGAAGGCAAGACCAGAAGCTATTACGGATGTAGTACGGCACTTATCTAGTCTTCTTATAGAGTAAGCTGTTGCTAAATAGTCAAAGGGCGGGCACTCTAATATGAGAAGATCTTTCTGATCTGAAACTTTCTCCCAAACTACCTCCAGGCCAAAGGTACAAGTGGCATCAATTTCTAGTGAAGATAGAGGAAGCCGCCTACCGTATTACAGACTCACAGAGCAAGACTTTTGCAGACAAGTTCTGCTTTACGCTGCGCATAAAAACACAGACAACTGAGGAATGCGGAAATGCAAGATAAGCCTTAATGATGTGAACAGGAATAAATTGTATAATCTAAGGACAAATTGAAACAGCAACCATTAAAAATAAACAGTTGCTAAGGCGTTGATCTAAGTGGTCGCTAGGAGTCGAAAACGGCTTGATGGCACATAAGGCGTTAAACCCTTGAACAGCAGAGTTACCGAAGGTTATTTTAGATCAGTTTACGAGCATAATCCTAGGTAGGTAATCCACATTTAAATTAAATAATTTTTCAGGGATTGAAACGCACCGAACTAAGCAGAATCGACTTGCACCTATGCGACTCATGCAAAGTATTCACCCCTTTATGATATACAGTACATTTATGTACAAGTAAAACCCACTGCGGGGAGTCGTGGGATTTATTTCTTTAAAAGTGCGTGAAAATCGAGGATAATAGCATTACATAACAATCCACAGAAACCGGATTTCTTGACTTTAAAACCAAACTCTTTCTCCCGGATAGATGTATCCAAATTGAGATCCCATCAGCTTCGGTTCTTCTCTGTTGCTCGGATTTCCAGAAGAGGGGGAAGAGAAAAGAGAACTCTGTGCTCTGTTTTCTGGATAGGATAGGAACTGAAGGGAAGGAACTTTGTTTCCTTTGTTTGGGGGATTGCTTAAGTTCCTGCACAAAGCGGAAGTAGGTGATCGTTGAGGAAAGGGCGGAGAAGTAAAAGTGTTTTTTTATCTTTCCAGGAGGTATAGCATAGACGTTGCGATTAATTGTATAAATAATTATTTGTATATTTATACAACCAGATAAAATAGTGAATAACTTAGTTTTTCTTCTGTATAAAGATGTTCTGCAAATTATCTCAGAGTAAACGGGGAAAAAATCTTGTAAGCAGGCAATGACAAACCGCCAATAAAATTACATTGGTTATGTCCATTTAAGACACTTGGAGTCTAGCTCGACTGGAAAGAGACTTGGATACAATAATGCTGCTGAGGATTAATTTTAGTTCATAAGTCTGGAATTGTACCTACCTCCTTCCCCCAGTTTTTTTCTATTAACGTCCATCTTGAAGAATAGAAGATCATTACTTTGGGACATTTTAAATGTCCCTAAATATTCTTTTTTTTTCTTCTTCTTCTTCTTTTTACCATTCAATCATGTCTGATTCTTGGAGACTGCCTGGACAAGTCCTTACAGTTTTCTTGGCCAGGCTTTTCAGAAGTGGTTTGCCATGGGTTCCTTCCCAGGGCTGAGAGAAAGTGACTGGCCCAAGGTCACCCAGCTGGTTTTGTGCCTCAGGCGGGACTAGAACTCACCATCTCCCAGTTTCTAGCCTGATGCCTTAACCACTATACCAAATTGACTCTCAAATATTCTACTATACTGTATATAGTTCTTCCATTTCTATTTATTTTGGATTTGTAATATGTTTTCTTGTCATGTTTAAAGTTAAGCAATACTAAATTTTGAGCATAAAAATTAACAGGAAAAGTGTTTTTTTTAAAACTGGCTTGCTTCACATTTCAAAATATGGTTAGTATAGTTTTGGTTTAGCATGCTGTGTTAATCCAGCCATTATGGTTTGTGGACCATAGTTTATGGCTTAATGTAATGCAAATCCAGACAATTAGCCTGTTGTAATATGAACCAAGCCATTTGTTGGATAACATTTTTTCATGTATTTTGAGTTTTCTTGTATTTTGAGTTGTATATCTCAGATTTTTTTTAAAAAAGTATTTCTAATTGAGATTATACAAAGTGCAGTCAAACAGAATAGGAAACAAGCATTAATATTTGTATATATCTTTATTACCTTTGTGTAATTGGTTATAAATCTCAAATTCTAAGCATGAAGAAGTTAAAGTTTAAAGAACTTGAAAGTTGTTTGCAACAAGTTGATGTCTTTGAGAATCCAAAACTCCTGCTTGAACAATATCCAACACCGCCACATATTGCAGGTAAATTTCACTGTTCTCTCTGTCATGTATATAGTGTTGGTCTATGCTACACATTCCAATTCTAGAGTTGTCTTCATGAAATTGTAGGTTCTTGATGTAATATAATGCTGATTGTTTAATATACAGTAGATTGCTACTGTACATTTTCATAGGTGTCCTAGAAGAATAATGGAAGTTGAGAAATTTTTTCCTTAGCATTTTCCTGCAGGTGCAGGGTCTGCTTTTTCAAATCAACCAAGTGTTGATCTGTTGGTTGTGACAGGAATTCACTGACCGGCTTGTCAACTGAGCCTGACGTCGGGGGCTGAGAAAGAGTGACTGGCCCAAAGTTAGGCTGGCTTTCATGCCTAACACAGGACTAGAACTCAGAGTCTGGTTTCTAGCCTGGAGCCTTAACCACTAGATCAAACTGGCTGTCAAATTCCAGCTGGAAGTTGCGAATTTAATATCCCATTAAAAGTTTCTTAAGTGATAGTCTCCTGCATAATGAATGCCTAATAGGCTTATTTGTTAAGTTCTTGACTAGTTCCTCCCCTATACTTTACTCCTCTAAAAACCAGTTAATACTTGGATGAAAAATTATGTGTGAGCTCAGTGGAATAACAAACATTGTTTTTAATCTAGATGTCTGTATTTAAAAAGGAGTGCCTTTCCTTGTAAGTCTTGGCATTTCACTTATGTGAACCAGCTGAGTGTGTTTTTATTTGCCTTACAGACATAGCTTGCTTAGCCATCTTAGTGGGTGTTGCCCATTATAAAGTCTGCTGATCTATTAAAGATTTGTGGATGAATAAGATCTTTCTTGAATGGGGAAATAGATCAGATGACCTTTATTCATCCCAGTTTGTTTAGTACATTTTGTATTTGCTCTGAACCTGTTGCCTGTATGTTTTTGTCTTTATTCTCCAGCATGTATGCTTTATACAATTCATAATACATTTGATGATATTGAAAACAAGATTGTTGCAGATCTTGGATGTGGTTGTGGCATATTGAGCATTGGAAGTGCCATGTTGGGAGCAGGGTAGGAAATCTCATTTTCTTATTGCTTTATTAATATTAAACTAAATGAGGAACAATGAATACCAGAGGCCCTTCAAAACAAGGAATGTCACAACATGGAGCTAAATCATCTCAAAATAAATCCATCTATATAGTGCTGGTAGTTTTAGAAATTGCTTGTTATATGTTTTTAAGTAGTCTTGATGAAAGCTAATTAGGATCAGATTACTAGAAAATCCCTGGGCTGTAAATTAAAGGAGGAAGTATAAAAACAAAAACATCCTGGAATAAGCCAGAAAGGTAGTGACAAGCCACTACTATATTGCCACCAAGAAAAGCTACCTAGTTACAGCAGTCAGATGGGATCTTTGCTCTTTAATCAACTACTGTAAATACAGATATATTAGATACAGTTCTAATTAAAGATGCAGTGTACTTACTCATATTATTTTGAATAGAATGTGCATCTAAAACACCTTGTTATGCTACTGATAAATTAGCACTTAGTTTACACATGAGTAAGCTGCATCAGAGACTATATTGTAAGATACATACCCCATATTTTAAAGTTTTATATAAATAATATCTGCTACTGAAATAGCATCACATGTAAAATCAAAGATGGAATAGCATTGACTAATAGTTCAAGATTTATATAACTGTCATTTAGAAATCTAATAGTTCATTTTTCCTTTAACAGAAAAAATTATCAAAATCACAAGAGATCTAGTATTAAAATTAGCCTTAAGCATGGATGTTTAACAGTAGGAGTTGGTATGTTTTAAAAATATGGAAATATGTGCTACTATAATTCCTTTTAATTTTACTTTTCCCAGGTTATGTATAGGATTTGATATAGATGCCAGTGCCCTGGAAGTATTTAACAGGAATGCTGAAGAATTTGACCTCACAAATGTTGACATGGTTCAGTGCAATGTATGCTCTTTGCCTGACAAAATGCCCAAAACATTTGATACAGTTATTATGAATCCTCCCTTTGGAACTAAGCATAATAAAGGTTAGTCGTTTTTTCCTAGCATGGGAATGAACCTCCTTGAAGAAGCCACTGTCTAATTTTATTTTACAGCATTTCTATACTGCCACAATGAACCAATACTTCTCAGACCCTTCCTTTTCTTACCATCTCTTAGCTGCCACTGATGTCTTTCACTTCAGACACAACATAAAAAAACTGGTCCCCCCCCCCAAAAAAAAATCTTCCCAACAGTTTCTTTTCCCTACTCCAAGGGCAGCTAAGCTGATAGCAGCTGAGGAAGGTAGGGAAAGGTAGACACAGATGTCAGGGAAGGTGGATGGGCAGGCTGGCTGAATATGGTGCTCATGAACCAGCAACACCTAATTTGGCTTAAATGCTACATATCCAACTGATCCCTATGTCAGCCTCACCCAATCTCCTCCAAGCCTTTCATTCCCTATCTTTTCTTAGCCACTGCCACCAATGTTCTTGGCATTTTCCAGTCTCCTTGCCAACTATCTACCCAGAACTCAGGTGTTTTGGTTCATGGACAATTTGAAACTAGCCGTTCTGTGCAAAGAACGTTTTGCCCATTCCTGCCAAGTAACCATGTGTCTCTACCATATATTCCAGTACTGCATTACCTTTGTAGTTAAAGTTTTTTTGTGCCTGCCTTAAAACCTTTGGCCTGTATTTTTTAAGTTGTATGGTTCATAGTAAGCAAGGATAATTTAATATAGTTCTTACCTCTATAAATTGTTTTTTTTTAGCCAGTATGCCACCAGTCTTCTTCAAGTTCCATAAATTCAATTCCTTCATGTCCCTATTTTATATCTGCCTTAAAACAAGTATAACATAGAAATAGCTTACATTTTATAGTTATATTTCTACCATTAGTGTAACAGATCAGTTGATTTTCTTAAATTATATTACATGATAATATTCAACTCAATATCCATGATTTTTCAAATCTTGTAATTGCAAGACATTTCCCATATAAGAATATGATTTTATTGGAACTTTCATTGAACAAAATTGAACAGAAGTATCTGTTTCCCAGTCTGGTCTCAGCCACAAATTTTAGGGACGTGCGTTCCATTCTATATTTTAAGGCAAAAGCTTTTGATACTTTAGGGTATACTAAACAATTCTTTAAACAATTATGTATCTATTATTGATAAAAACATTTATTGGTGAGATTAAATCAAAAATATCTGACAATAAATCAATCTTTCAACTCTGATGTTAGAAATTTAATTCAATATAAGAAATAGCTGAAGCAATATATCTAAACAAAGATTGTTACATAACACAAACAGATGAATTGTTTAAACTGATTAAACATTAAAACATTACACTAATCAGGAATGTTTAAAAATAAAATTTGATTTGCTGTGTATTGAGAATAGGTGAGGAACTGAATATTTAATAGTATTCAAATCAACTAGGCACTCAGTAGTGAAATTATAAGAATGTGTACTCTCTAAACTAGATAATATATAGTATTAGTAATTACCAAGTTTTTCTTAACACCAACAAGACAATTTCTTTTCAGTATTGTGATACTGCTCAAGGCTGCTAAGAGATATTAGGAATTCAGGAGAGATCATATTAATAACCGTAAGTGTGACTGAATAAAAGAGGCTTAAAGCTGTAACACTTTTTATTTTCATAGGGATGGATATGGCTTTTCTCAAAACAGCGCTGCAGATGGCAAAAATAGCTGTATATTCCTTACACAAAACATCAACTCGACAAGTATGTCTCTAGCAAATTTGTGCTTATATACATTTTTATATGAAACAATAAGATTAGAAATCTTGGGTGTTCTAGAATCATGAAGATCACAACTATGGAACATAATGTCTGAAATCAGATATCCTGGAATAGCCTAAAACATTTTATCAACATAGCATGTTCCAGATGTGTTAGAATTCAACTTCTATAATACTAGCCAGTTTGCAAAATCTAAGTTTAGCTTTTTTTTCATTTATTTTTAACAAAAAAAAAAATCTTATTGTGAAAATGTGTTGAGGGAGGCCATCATTGCCATCTGTGAAAATATATATAGATTTACCAAAATCAAGAGAACCCCTAATATCTTGCATTTCTTCCATGCTCAGCATATTCAGAAAAAAGCAGATGAATGGAAAATAGAAATGGAAGTTTTAGCAGGTAAGAACAAGTTGTTACTGTTAAATTTAAAGGCACATAGAGTTCCGCTATTTAAATATAAGGCTGTATTTATATAAGATGCTGAATGGTACTTTTATAGAAGCTGTCCTAAATAGTATGATAAGCCTCGTTCTATTTACTTTTAATCATTTTATACTGATAGTGCTTCACAGCAGTTGTCTCCCTTGAGCTTTTTAAAATGTGCAAATCCAAAACTATTGTGAAAATAATTTTGTAATGGTATCTTAATTAAATATGCTAGAAATATAGGCAGTATTTGCATTATAGAAGTTGATCTAATTGAACTGTTGTTACTCAGACACAAGATAGTTTTATGTGATCATAAACATGTCCAAAAACCCAGGATCAGATATTCAGATCACACATATGTGTATTAACTCTAAGACTCCTTTATTTCATCATTTCTCAAATATATTTGTGACTTTCCATACATTACTTACAGCTTAAATTCTTTTTAATTCACTAATTTTTAGAGCTGAAATATGACCTACCAGCATCATATAAATTCCACAAGAAAAAATCAGTAAGTATTAAACCACTTTCAATTCAGAGTAAACCTATGAATTTGTAGCTAAATAACTGAGCTGTATATTAATGATGGCAGACAAAAATGTTTGTTTGAGCTGGGCCTATACATGCATATAACCTGGTATCGAAAACAAAATTCAAGATTTAAACAAAAGGGAACAGAAACTTGAAGTATGGCATTTAATGGTAATGTTTAATTTCTAGAGCCATAGGAATCCCTTAGCCTAGTCTACAGCATGGGACCTATCTTCCATTTTACTATATATACCAACCCATCATTCTCTTACTTTTCAAATGGGTCCTGATGCAATCAGATGTGTGGCTCCCAATCTTTCAGTGAAAGGTTGATATGTTGTATGATAGACAAGGAAGACCTACAATTGAGAATCCCTACTCACAAAAGGAGATCAAAGCTACTGTGCTGTTTAATCTGAGAGGAAGATAAAAACAGCTATACTAACACTGTAAAAGAAATACAGTGGGTGGGGGTGAGGTGGGGTACGTAATGACAAATGCTAGGAGGATCATGCAGATTTTCCTGCTTGTAAAATCACTGCCTATCCATATAGGTAGCAGAATTATTAGAATACAGTATCCTGTTTAATTTACATAGGCGTCCACCCTTGAAATAAAATGGCATTACTGATTTAAGCTAGATTGTACTGAACTAGTTCACATAAATAGAAATCTAAAATTCTGTGTTTAGTCCTGTGCATTTTGGACTTAAAAATAAAACGGTGTTTTGGAGTGTGCAGGAGCACACATTTAGCACTAAATGTCTAAAACTCCTTAAACCAAACACAACAAGACAGGAAGGATCATCCTATATCTGTTTTGGCTTAACTTGTTTTTTGCCCAACATAACTAGAGTGGTTGGGGAGAAGAAGAGGTAAAAACAGGAATGATATGGATCAAACCATTTGATTAAGGCAAGTCCAACCCACAAGTTCAAGAAGTAGTAGATCACAACAATTATAATACAGTAAACTCTCAACTTAGCAGACTTATTTGGGGAGGGAGCGCATGTTAAAACAGAATATTAAAATTAAATGAGATTTTTCTCATGTACAGGAGGATAGAGTTGACATACAACTTTTGTCCATAATACATTACAATACTACCTTTTGGGGTATCTCTAAAATAGAAATTATTATGGGCAGGGTGTATTCATGATGGGCTTTACTACACCAGTTCCACTGTTCCTTCATCACATAATGTAATCCATATTGGATTTTGCTATATGAAGAGCAGCCTCTGAAGAAGCTAAGTTTAGACATCTTTGCATTCTCAAACATGCAGAGTTTGAGAATTTACTAAAACCAAAAACAACTTTTGTCCATTGGAACAGACACCTTCTGTCATTGTGATACAAAAGAACACAGGTTACATTTTGAGAAAATTCTAAGGCAGCATTGAAGACAAAAACAAAATCTGAATTAGGTGCTCGTGGTAACTCTACATAGTTGCTTTATTTCATTTATAGATATTTTTTTCTTCCATTAAACTAAAGGCAGCAATACAGTTGGATACATCAGTAACTGAACACAAAGATTCACAGAATTTTACCACACAAGATACTGATACTTATTTGGTATACACTACTCAGTAAAAGTTTTGTACATAGTAGATACTAGGATAGTTCAGTTTCTTCAGCCTTTTCTTTCAGCCTTATAGGCTCAATCATCAGTTATTTTAAAAACTGCATGTTAAATCAGCCACTATTCCAGAAAAGAATCTCAAAATGTAATTTTCTTCTTTGTCTTACAGGTAGACATCGAAGTAGATTTTATCAGATTCTCTTGTGAAAAAAAAAATGATGGATGGAGGAATGACTTAAAACTTCATTAAAAATAATAAAAATACCATTAAATGCTTTTTGAAGTATTACTACTGAACTCCAGCACCATTTTCTGTTTTTAGCTGTTTGGCAGCAGGTTCTTCTTGCTCCCCTTCTTCAAGTGGTCTTTTCTTGGGACTTGCTGACCCTGTAAAATTGACATTTCAGTCAGGTGGACCACAACAATCACATTCAGAATTATGGTAATAAACCAAGTAATATCAAACTTCTATAGCGTCCTTTACTTTGGTCTCTTTCCCAGAATAGCTTACAAAACCTAATTAGCTAGATTAACACATCTGAGAGAACCGTTAAGGAATGTCTGCAATTATTACATAGCCACTCCTATTCGATCTCATGCTATTCAAGGTGAATCTAAAACTCAGGTTAGATTTCCATTCATGCAGGATGTATAGTCTCCAAAGAGAATATTGCAAACCTGAAGTAATGTTTCTGAATGCTACAAACAGCCTTTAACTTGCAAGTTTCCAACAGCCTGCACAATTCTGTTTTGGGGAGCAGAGTTCAAAAATACAAACACCTAACAAAGATTAACACAGAAGCTCTGACAATAACTTAACAGAAATTTTTCAGGGCACCCTAGCCTGTACACTTTGGAAACTTGTTCCACAAAGATAAGTCACCTGTGGTATTTGTATCTTCACCCTCCTCTTCATCTTCACTTTCAAATTTTGTTTTCTTGCCTTGGAATTTCACTTTTTTGTCTTGTGTGCCTTGTGCTCCCTTGCCACCTTTACCTTTGCCTTTGCGACCTAGCAAAAAGAGTATGTACATATTAGATCATCACAGTTTTAGGAATTCATTTCTGGGTATCTCAGATTAAGAGGGAAGGCTTTCATATAAAATAGCTCTTCCCAATTTGGTGCCATATGTATAACTACCATTTCTGTAACTCCCAGCCAACATGGCCAGAATCTATGTTTGCTGAATTTGAGGAGTAGAATGTTAGTCCATCTTATGCCAGAAGGAGTGTTCATGCTGTTCCATGGAAGCAGGTTTTAGTTATTTCTTTTCCAGTCATACATGAAGAAAAAAGGAACATTAATGCTTTCTATGAACTTTCCTTCTGATTTGGTGTATGGAGATAACCTAGATAGGTTGATTCTCACTTGTTCAGGACTTTCCTTTTGTGCATTATCTATTATGCATGGAAGCTCCTCCCCAGTTTACTATGCCTGGCTCTTCCAATAACCAGTTCATTTGTTGATTTAACTATTGAGATAGCTGCTGCTCTGATAGCAGTACAGATATTAAGAGAATATTAAACATGTTTTTCTATGTTATGGCAACAAAGACCATGTACTATCTGACATATTGATAGTGGACACTTTTCCTCCAGGAGTTGTGATGTGTATTTCTAATTGCTCCAGACAGTGAAATGTAGGGCTCTATTAGCAAGATACTTGGATTATCAATGAAGAATAAGAACTAATTTTACAATGAAGGAGAGTCTGCTCTAATGATAATTTATACCTTACACATGATAGTCTACCTCCAAAATGGCTTTAAAAGAAATCATTTGTAAGAAGGAGAGGATTCAGAAAACTAAATAATACAGTAATGTACCTTAGAGGAATGGAGGAAAGCCGAGAGGGCAGAAGAAAGGGTGAGTGTCTGCTTCTTTTAAAAAAAGTATTTGGCTTAGGTTTTTAGCATAGGCCAAAGCTCAGAACTCTGGGTACTTTTGATGCCTTCCATCCTCTGATTAGCCTTTCTGACAGAAAGCTTCCCAGAAGCTTCATAGATCTAGATAGGACTGCACCTTGCAGGTAAGGACATTTGCTAGTAAAGTTTTAAGAAAATTCTAGAGAAAAGATTAGCCTTTGCATCAGCAAGACTATTTTGACACAAAGGAACTGTGGCTTCATCATTACCAGGTAGATGATTTTTGAGATCTAGTATCACCTGAACTAGTATAGGGCTATTAAGATTACTGATGGTTAAGTCAGTAAGATTTACTTTATTCCCTAAAAAATAATGGCTGGGAGGAGGCAGTAATATAGCAGTTTATTGGACACGATGATGTGAACATGCCCATGGCTTGTTTTCCCTTTTTTGCAACAATTAAAATAATCCTGAGATTTATAGAAGAGGTCTGATAGGAAAACTCACTTTCTGGGTGATGTGTGAATACACTACAAGAGAAGTTAAATTTCAATCAAACATGTTTGATTGCTGTCATGGACTGGTATCAACCTTTGGTATCAGCCTTTGAAGAAATCAGAAAAAGAAAAGTGATCATGGTCACATTCTAGTATGAAAAGATCCTGAGGCCTAGATGTGAATTACAACTGTTCCAAGAAGATCTTTGTTGGCTCAACTGAAGAATACGCCTGGATCAACAAAGTATCTGGAAATGGATATATAAGAACCTTGAAAGATGAAAACGTACAAATTGAGAAAATCCAAATTCACAAACCCAAAATAGATGTCTCCGTAATGGAAAAACTTTTGTTGGTAAAGAAACCTGACCAATCTGCAGTGGTTGGAGAATACATGAAAAGGCAGATATGCTTCACCAATGCAGAAATAATGACAAGCCACAAATCCATTTTTCTCCCTTAGAGTACCACAAAGAATCATGTCTGGACTAGGCGGTTGTGTTTTTCTGTTTAAAAAAAACCAAAAACTTGAATTCACTGCCCTAATCCAGTTTGTGAAAGGAATTTTGTAATTGTTTCCTGTATAAGGACACTACCAAGAATTTGAAGTTCTACATTGAAGCTTCCATGGAAAGAATGAAAGAGCACTGGTAATAGAGAACAGACTGAATCTTGTAGGACCTTAATTAGAAACAGCCATAGAGCAATTCAGTAATATCTCAACCATAGCAACTTTGGCCAACAAAGATGAAAAGGTAGAGGAAAAGTTTTCCCAGTTTGCTATCTAAGGCTCCTTTACAATCTAGTAGCACATCCTTAAAAGCAGCTCAGAAAAGGTTTAATCCTTAGCAGGAAACGGAGGCCACAATGGATCAAGGAATAGTCACCACATCCTTATTTAAACTAGCAGAAGCAGCTATTAACTACACTGGCAGCAAATCAGTCTATTGTGTTCAGAGGATTGAATCAAAAGAAAAGCTCAGCTGAAACAGCTATTTTATGAGAATGCTTGTTCTCTTTATCCAGCAGCTGAACAGTATTCTTGGTGATAATTCCTATTTAATTAAATAATGCAAGATACTAAGTAAGTACTTCAACTAGGTACTCTATAGAACTCTCCCTGGTGGAGCTTCCTTTATGCTGGAAGAATTAAGGTACTAATGTCATCATGTCTCCTGATTTTGATGTGTTACATTTTGCATCTTCATAAATTGGCACAGCAGAATCTTTCTTATTGGTACTATGGGAAGTACAGAAAAGGAAGAAAAATCCAATAGTCTCTTTTAAAAAACAGAAACAATATAAGGTTCTGAAAAGGGCAGAAAAAAGGTGCTAGGAGAGTATACTGAGAAAAAGTGGCCTGACAAAGAAAAATTCTAATAGGAGCAAAAAGACCTTTTAGCTGTACTGAGCAAAGATAGGGAAGAACAACAGAAAACCTTCCTGGAGAAAATGCAAAAAAGTAAAATACAGAATTCTCTGCCTTCACAGCAAGGAATAGATGTGATTAAACTTTTGAGTTTGTTAGAAGAGTGCCTGGGTTAGTTTGCCCATTTGGTCACAAAGAGAGGTCGAGAAGTACCCTACAGTTCTGAATCAATTCTAGGATTCTAAGTGTGCACGCTCACCCTGGTATGCATTCTCTCATACAGACCTCACTCTTCTGAACTCTCTCATACAGAGTAGGCAATCTTTTGGCCAGAGGGTATTTTAAAGAAAAAAATTAGACTCTGAGGGCCAAGTGATGATATCCCCAGAGGGGCTATATCTGAAATGTTTATCTATTTTTGAAAGGAAGAGGGATTGAAAAACAGAAAGCCCACCAGAGGCTTTTTAAGGGCTTATTTGTATAAAATATAGCATAAAATCTCGGGATTGAAGAGGGACAAAGAGGTTGGGGAAAAGATTAAGATAATTACCCATTAGAAAGAAGGGCGGAAAACATAACTATATTTTTTCTTATTTCTTTATGCCATCACGGCCACAGGATACTCAAAAGCAAGGCCTTTGGCTGAGGCTACAGAGCTCAGTTCATCCTATTTGCAAACTTTTCCCTCAGCCCAATAACAGTTGGTCTTCCAGCACCCTCCTTCTCTTCCTTGCCACCAATGTGGGCAGGCTGCTCTCATGGCTTGTCCTGTAAACATATAAATCTGGTCCATCCCTGAGCCACTGAAGAGGAAAGGAGCCTTCAACGGCTCCTTTCTGACACACAAAGATGGACTTGCTAGATCAGAGCTCCTCTCTGAGGAGAGCAGTCCATTTCTTGCCCAATAATCTAAGTGTAACTTCCAGGAAAGGTAAAATGAATATGTAAATATCTCAAAGGAAGAAATCACCTTTTCCTTTTTTTTTGTTTAACAGCTCCTGCTGGCCCTCCATGATTTTTTTCAGTGCTTCCCGGGCCACATCTCCTTCAAGCACTTCCCATGTGACATCTTTCTCTCGCAGCTGTAAGTTCCCATTATTTGCTTCTTTGGCTTTATCCAGCGCATCTTTGGCGCTGCTCTTGAACAGGATGATACCCTATACACAGAAACACAATTTGAATCACTGCAGGCACCTTCCAGCCATTTCCACCCTCACGATGGGGCATTTGCAAATGGGCTCATCCTGGGTGAGGCAGGAAAGAACTGGAGGGAGGAGTCTGGGAGAGCTAATGTAAGAGAAATTTTAATTGTCTGATGGGCAATTTTCTGGGCAATAGGAGAGTTCTGAACCCCTATTTGGCTGCTTCCAACCACCAGCCAGGAAACAGCATCTTCCCACAGATTCACAGCATGAAGCAACAGTGACTGGTAGTTAAACGTTGCTAATAATTGACAGTCAGGCTCTTCTATAAGTCTCCATCCTACTCTACAGAACTGAACATGTATGTAACTCATTTAGGGACCGATAACTGTCTTAGGGCATTCTTTGACAAGTGCTGAAGGCAGAAGCTGAAGAAAGCAACACACGATCTGCACATTTCTCCCTTGTCCTTAAGATACTTGCCTCTGTTGGACCACAGAAAGAAATTAACCGGCACAGCCTGCAGGTTAGAAAACTAAGGAAATAATGCTGGATACCATGGAGTACTGTACTCTAAACATTTATTTTATTTTCTAGCTTTGTTCTGTGGACTGCCCCACCTGAAAAATCTGTAGGTCAAAAGTTTCTTAATTTTTCATTAGTTGTGTGTTACAATGCACATTATAAGGTGCGACCAGTATAAAACATGAGTCTTTAACCCTTTCAGGCTAGTGGGCATGTTTGTAATTCTCAGTGCAAGTTAAAGGCTTACTCACAAAATTGTTCCCATAGTGGTCAATCATAAGACATCCCCATAGAAAAAAGTCAAACTAAACAGTGGGCCACCCAGGATTTTATTTTCTAACAATGCCTCTGAGGTTTATGGGGGCAGGGGGAGAATCTGGAGACATTTACACTGAGCAGGTGCTTTGCAATATGTTAGCTTCTGATTTTTTTTAATTAAAAAGAATCTAATAAAGTCAGGGAGGGGAGAGAACTTGGTAGGCATCAAGGAATATACTGGTAGGCAACAAATTGTTGCAGTGAGTATCTTTTGGGGCATCTAGGATTTACAAGGCCAAGCAAAACAATATCACTGTTTACTCTAGCAAGCCGGAATGTCACTTATATTCTGCAGCATTACTAAGAATTACTTCACTAGAGAAGTGTTGAAAATCTTATCAAGTTTTTCCATTACGACTTTTGTCATTAACACATATTCTACCAGTAAATTTGAGAGAATGAACAACAATAATAAAACAATCCTTGCTCCAGATTACGCATAACCAATCCTGAAAACAGTGTGCCATCTGTTTAACATTTCATCCTGTACAAATATCAGAGTAACCATTCTGACCTCTTTTGCACCCCTGACGAAGTCTATCCACTTGATTTCACCATGATTTGAAAAAACTGCATGAAGGTCTTCTCGACAAGTATGATCTTCCAAGTCACCAAAAAACTTCAGCAAGCATCCCTGTTTCTCTTCCAGAGATTTCTTTTGTGTATAAAGAGGGAAAAACCTGTAAGATACTTATTTATGTCCTAGATGAATTTAGTGGACTTCAGTAAAATGAGCGCTCTCAAATATTTCCAAAATTTGATCAATAAAGAAGTATCCAAATATAAAGAGTTCCAGGGTACTGCTGCATTTGTAGATCTTTTGTCATCAAGCTTGTTCCTGGCAGATACCCTCTTCAGGGGCTCCCTCCCATGTGAGCAGAATCCTGTGGAGTTGGGATCATACTTGTGATGGAATGGACTTATGAAGGCCATGCTCAGGGAGATAAGCGTGTTCTTAGCCCCCAACAGGAGCG